ACAAACATTTTAGCCAGCTTAAAGACAGTGCTACAACTGCTGTGGGTCCATCTGCCATACTCATGATATCTGAACTCCCTTAATATCCAATTAATTTTTTCCTATGTATAGCTTAGAGGTGTGTAGGCTGCCACAAAATAAATAATTTTTTAAAAGTACTGTCTCCTGAGTCATGGCAGTTTATCTTTTATCCTCTAGAATATTAAGAAAAAAATAAACCCATTTGTGCAATTCTTGATTTATTTCTAGCTGTTAGAAGCATGTGCTTTTGATATAACTAGTTTGTTTTAGATAAACTGGAAAGTTTATGTTCTCCCACTTCCATCAGATCTGATACTTATTTTATGAAACAGATGTCAACATGTAAAGAGTTAAAATTACTCCACTAGAGGAGTCAAAATGTTAATATTTTGTACTTCGTATCTTTGACATTCTGGAATGAAATGTAATTCTCAATGAAATGTATTTCTGGAAATGTGATTTCCAGAAGTAAAGCCAGAATTCCCAAAATACCCACAGTGAAATGGGGGAATTCTATTTGACCATTTCACAGTGCTTAGACAAAAACCCACAAACAAACAAACAAAAAAACCCCACCAAAACAAAAAACCAAAACCAATTAACCCTAACATACAAGGATTCAGTGAAGTATTCAGAATTATGATTATGATAGACTATCTGCCCTATCTTGCCATTGACCTTTACTCTTTTTCTTGTATTTAAACAGTGTATCTTGACAATTGAAAAAATACTTGCCAGTCAAAAATGAGAATGACATGATGCATTGAAATAAGTACCAAAAGAAATATTTCCATTTTAGGTGCTGTTTTTCCACTGATACTCCTACAGTAATGGGAAGCAGTATTCCTTGCACCCAAAGGCTCAAATTTTAAAATACTAATCTGTCTTTGAATTGTACAGTGGTGTAGGGCTTAATACTTCTTTTGACCTATGATCTTTCTCTAATCTATCATCACTAAAATTATTCCAGTAACAAACATTGAGAAAGTTAAAATCATTTTGGCAATTGATTTAAATGGAGGTTTTTTGCATTCAATATAATTATTTGTCTCAGTCTGAAATTTTAAAATTTGTGTAATGAACATGTTTTATCTAATAGCTGTTATCTCTAGCTCATCACAATACATTCAAGTTCAGCTACAAAGAAGGATAGCCGTGAAATTTTAATGTTGAACTCTTACAGATCAATTTTAGGAAGTAATTACCTGTAACTCTGTTATTGTGAGTCCTGGTAGAAGACATTGCATTTGAAAAAGAGTTTTCACTTGCAAATATTTATATGTAGGGATCCCTCACTGACAAGGTGGTCACCAAAAAATGCTGTGGAAAAAAGACACCAGGTATCATCTTCAACTCAATTGCTAGTATACATCAAAATATGTAGGTTTGTCAGAGATTATTCACAACAAGAAAAAGTCAAAACAAGTCTTTTGAGAATGAAGGGGTACTCTGTTGACAAAAGATAAAGTAATTTTCTTAAAGAAAACAGCAAAAAAATATTCCATAATCTTCTCTATGGCTCCAACCTCCGGTGTGAAACATAGCAATCAAATATTTGTTGAATGGAAGCTCTTCAGGAACTATTTTGGCATCCAATACAGTATATGAGATCTTATAACAAAGAACAGTTCGGGGAAAAGTAAAAAAAGCTAAAACCAGGTCAATATAGAAAAAAATCACAAACAATGGAATAGCATATTTAGTGTGTAGAAGGGAACTCATTGGCCTGGATTAGTTTTTCATGGAGTGAAAAGAAAAGCTATTTCATCAGCAGCTTCTCAGGTTCTCAAGTCAAAAATTCTGTGGAAAAGTCATTTCAGTGTGGACTTTTTTTCCAGTGTTTCATTATTCTGTCATGCAGAATCACAGTTGCAATATTTCATAGCGTGACAGGTTTAAGCTACAAGATAAATGACTCACAAAGGCACACAGTGTGCCACAGGAAAAATCTTTTGTAAACATGGAAGACTCATCTTCTTTTACACTCTCCCACTGATATTTTAAAGTGGTGTAATAATCATTAATTGTTCAACATTGAAATCCAGCACTGGTTACAAATAAAATGCAGATGATTGAGATTTTTTTTCCCAGATGCACATAAACTAACTTGTACTCTCTGTTTTGCATAATGGTGTCATCGGTACTTCTATTTAGATTAATATTTTTAACAGTTAAATAAATTTTATGTCAGCTTGCTTCTTTCTGTTAGATCAAAAAAGTAGATTGAACATACACAGTAAGGTATATAAGTGTGGCTTTGAGCTGTGCTATTAGAAAATTAAATATCAATTCTCAGCTGCCATCAAAACTTATAAAATTTAAATTAGAACTTGCTTTTCCTAGCAAGCAGCTAGAAGAATTGTATATAATTGGGAAAATGTCTGGTTTCCATGGAAACATTTGGTTTACATTTACAGCAAAATATAATATTAAAAAATCGCAAGAATTTTATTGTATGACATTTTAGGGCAAGATTACTTAGAATTTTGGGAATGAAGGTAGATCCAGTTTGCTTACTGGGAAATTAAAAACAGGGAAATTAAAATCCATTATTCTCTTTAGTTCCTGAACAACCGGCTTTCACAGAAAACTTTCTATCACACATTTATGCTATTTTCAGTTTTTGCTTGTGTCTTTTCTTGAATTTCTAGGAGATACCCCTGAATTATTGCACATAGATAAGGAAGAGAAGAAATAAATAGAGTCTTTTAATAAATAGAAATAAATAGAACTTTTGGATAATTATTAATAATATCCTTGAAAGAGTAATTTTTTGCCAATACTGGAAGGTCAACATACAAATTTTATTCTACCCGTGACGACACACATAGAGCAAACAATGGCATCAACATGTGTTTTCTGTTAGCTCACTGCATACAGAATTGTTAGACAGCTTAACAGTTGTGTCACAGAAGAGTTATTTCAGTACTGTTTGATTTGATTTCAAATTCAGTTTACGTTTGGAAAGAAAAAGACAGACAAGGACAGATTGCAAGTCTCAGAATGTGCCAAATAACAACCTCACATCAAGAGAAAATTAGAAACAAATGGTACTTACGATAATACTTAGCTGCATTACAGTAAAACATTTGCTTTAATAACTTGAATCCATCATCACTGCTGTGCACATCTTAATTTTATTTAAGAAATGGGGCAGACGTGTATGGACTGATATTTTTTTTAAGTGTGGAGGATTTAACTTTGCATCTTAAATTAAAATGGATAGAAATGCCTGGCTAAATATCTAGCTTCAATATTTTTAAACACTAAGCAATTATTGAACTAAGCAATACTTTGCTGAAGGGGAGTTAGAAATGATAGAGTATGATCTAAAATATCAAAATGCTACCACAGGCAGGACTCTGATTCTACTTCCCACCCTCTTTTTATACAAGTAACCACTTCAAAGTGGTTCACTACAGTGAGACTACATTGTTCAAACAATGAT